ATCTCTATTCGAATAACAATGCCATACAGTCCACAGCAAAATGGTCTTGCAGAGAGAGAAAATCGAACGCTCGTGGAAAGTGCAAGAACCATGCTGCATACAAAAGATTTGCCGATAAAGCTATGGGCAGAAGCTGTGAATACAGCTTCGTATGTTCTCAATCGTACTGGTCCAACAACAGTAGTTGGAAAATCTCCCATTGAGCTCTGGCAAAGCAAAGAAATATCAACAATTAGTCACCTACGTATCTTTGGTACTCGTTGTTACGTTCATGTGCCCAAACAAACGAGGAGAAAATGGGACAAGAAAAGCACTGAAGGTAGATTCGTCGGCTATTGTGGAGATAAAGATGGTTATCGTATATGGATTCCAGATGGAAATAAAGTTGTTATGAGCAAAGATGTAATCTTCAAGTCCGAAGAAGTTGTAGAAAAAAAGGTACAGCTTAAAATGAAGGAAGATATAGAGGACAAGGTACAGTTGAGGATGAACATGCAAGTAGTAGCAGGAGAGAACCAAGAGAGACGACTCTCAATCCAAGAAGAAGTTTCGACTTTGCAGAATGATCCAGTGAGCGAAGTTAATGTGGAGGAGGAAGAAAATGAGCATGAGGAAGAAGAAAATGAGCGAAGAAACGATGAATCCCTACAGCATCATGACAGCAGACGTATAGTCAGAATGCCGTCATACTTGAACGACTATGTATTATTTGCAGAATATGATGAACCACAGTCATATGAAGCTGCAATGAAGTCAAGTGACGCAGAACTATGGAAGAATGCTATGGCTGAAGAGATGCAATCTTTAGCAGAAAACGACACATGGAGTTTGGTTGATTCGCCTCCAGGAAGTAAACTCATTCCTAATCGATGGGTTCTGAAGGTGAAAACAGATTCAGATGGTAAAATTTGTCGTTATAAAGCTAGGCTGGTAGCTAAAGGTTTTAACCAAAAAGCGGGTATAGACTACAATGAGACTTTCAGCCCCGTGGCTCGTTTTGATACCCTCAGGATTGTTTTCAGTGTAGCAGCCTCAGAAAACATGATACTCTCACAATTCGATGTAAAAACAGCGTTTTTATATGGTAAACTTGAGGAGGAAGTATTCATGAATCAACCAGAAGGATTCAATGACAATACAGGACGAGTGTGTAAGCTGAATAGGAGCTTGTATGGTTTGAAGCAGTCGCCACGATGCTGGAACACCCGTTTTGTACACTTCTTGAAAAATGAAGAAATGATCTGCAGTTCATCGGATCCATGCCTGTTTATCCGTGTGAGGAATAATCGAAAACTCCTGGTCGCTATATATGTCGATGATGGACTCATTGCAGGCAGCGATGATAGAGAAATATCATCATTTCTCAATAAATTACGAAATACATTCAAGATCACTGAAGGGGACTTTGCTTGTTATCTTGGTCTGCAGATGAACAGATTCAGTGACGGTAGTATATTCATAAACCAAAGTATATACATAAATAAAGTACTGAATCGTTTCAATATGCAAGATTGTAAACCAATTGCAACACCCTGTGATACTGGAGTTTATCTTGTTGGTGATTCTAGTGAAGAATTGGATAGCAGTGTACCCTATCGTGAAGCAGTGGGCAGCCTCATGTACATTATGACTGGATCTCGTCCAGACATTGCTTTCGCCATAAGTATAGTTTCAGAAAAACTAAGTTCACCTAAGATATCCGATTGGCGTATTGTCAAACGCATATTGAGATATCTTAAAGGAACCATCGATTTCGGATTGTTCTACAGTGCGAAAAATCAGAGAATTCTCAGAGTATACAGTGATGCCGACTACGCTGGTGACACACCCTCCAGGAAATCGAGATCTGGTGTTGTATGTATGTATGCTGGATCTGCAGTAACCTGGTTCAGTCAGAAGCAGAAGAGTTTTTCTCTCTCCACCACTGAGGCAGAATATATTGCTGCAAGCGAGGCAACCAAGGAATTGATTTGGGTAAAACGTCTACTTGGTGAAATCACTTCATTTGATGGACATGTCACCCTATATATGGATAGTGCAAGTGCTATTAAACTTGTGAAAAACCCTGAGTTTCATAAGAAATCGAAACATATCGAAATACGTTTCCATTTCATACGGAATAAATATCAAGAAGGCGTTATGGAAGTGGAGTTCATTCCTAGTGAAGAACAAGTAGCAGACCTCTTGACAAAACCTTTATCGAGAGTGAAATTTTTGGAATTTCGAAAACTGCTTGGTGTACAGTGTGTACGGAACCTTGACGAATGATGTACAAATATCCAGGATGATTTTAGGAGGAAGTGTTAAATTTATAAAATTATCATCCTGTATATGTTGATCTAGTGTGCCATTCATTCTATTGATATTTGTTTTTTAGTTGTCTGTCGATAATAATAAATATTGTCAATCAGATTTGTATCTTCTTATAAAGTAGATTTCCTTGCAATTCCCATTGGAATTATAGTTTCTACCACATAGCTCAACAAATATGCTGACTAGAATAAGATGCTGGGGACTGGCTATTTCCAGCAAAAAATCGTTGTTTTTACTGCATGGATTCAGCTCATCGAACTACAGGATAAACACTAAAAAAGTTTATGATTTTATTCACTGCCCTCTGGGGAGCACTTTTATTGTGTGTTTTTCCATAAAATCTTGTGAACTGGATATTTTTGCGAGTTAAATCATCTGAATTGGGTGTTTAGGTATTTTCTAACTTGTATTGAGTAATGTGAAGGTGTCCCATCCTGTTGAAATGCGATACTTCTATCAATCCATTTGCTTACATCCATCAGAGCCTTATTCTTATTTATTGCTTTCTGAATAGTGAAATCACCAAACTCACAATTTAATTCGCTGATTGAGAGAGTCCACGTGGAATGAGATTCAATAGTTCTTCAAAAGTAGAATGTAGTATGAGTAGGCACGAATATCTGATTCGGATAAAAATCTTTCACCTACGCGATAATTCCTCATATTGATTACAATGTTTCCACATTTCCACATGTAGAAGCAGATTCCAATTGGAAATTATTTATGTTCATATCTCGAAGGACTCTTCCAGAAAATCTAGACCGGTTCTGGATTTTTCATCGAATAGAGCCTCTTCCCAACTCTTATGATACACCGATATGCAAGGAATGGAATGGAAATCATAGAAACGTCCATCAGTATTTTGTTCGATATTTTTTCAACAATTCGGTCGAAGTGTGCCGTACAAAATGAGAAGCTACACTTGTAGTGTTTTTCCTGATCTTTCCTATTTTGAAGCGAGTTTTTCAGAAATACGATCCAGAAAGTCGAAATTATAACATTTGAAAAGAAAATGAATTTCCCAAGTCCGGCTCTGCAATTTTTTTTGCATAGTAGGCCATCTTATAAGCGATGGATGATTTCTATTCGCGAAAGGTTGGAAAGAAATGACATTTTGTGGGATGATAAAGATAGGTTTCCTGATAGTCCATCTGAGTTTGCGACCTTGGTAGGTTGTTGCTCGAGGGGTGAGGAGATGAAAACTATGACTCGCGGTGCTTGGTGGACAATAGCTTTGTTGGGGTAGATGTTTGAAGGAAAGATGTATAGATGTTCGAATAAAAGATGTATTGAACAAGATTGGGCTACGACCAATAGTATTCTCTCTACGGCGCGCCAAGTTTTAAGGGGTACAGGGTGCAATTTTCAACAAAATCAGAATCTAGTCGCGGATAAAACATAGATATTCCTTTGCTCCAAGTCGGCATATGCTTGATTTGATATACTTCGTCATATACAGTGTGTCATTTAAGTGTGCAACATAGGGGAATCTTTTAAATGAATTGCACAATCAAAATACAGGTAGTGCCGGAAGTTGGTGCATGCTCGGTAACCATTTTAGGTGCACTCAGAATGGTTGCAAGTCGAACATCATACAGGGTAGGTCAAAAAATATAAATATTGCTCAAGACTATCATAAGTACCCATATTCCAGAAATTTCAGCAAAATGTTATGGAAAAAAGTTGTAACAATTCAAAGTTATGTCTAAATGCCAAAATATTGCCTACTGAGACATATTTTGATTCTTAAATGGTTTTCGTTAATAACTTCCCAATTTGTATTTTTTTTATATCCACCCTCAACACTTCCATAAGTTAATCATAACAATCACTTCAGCATACTGTTGTTCTAATTCAAGCATATTCGTGCAATTAACTTGGATTTCATTTTTTTAGGGAATCACAAACTTTATATATGTTTGTTGCAACGATATTCAGCTTAATTTTAAAATTCCGCAAACCATATATTTAACAAGGTAAAATCATTAGATAAAAAGTTGATGTCACTAAACTGCCCTAATGTTTACTGTCACCCCTCATTTGTTTTGTTCCTTAGGTATCCGTGATTATTTTGAAAGATATCATGGTTGTCGATTGATTTGTACAGCTTTTTCAGAAACATTTCAAAGAATGCAAGATGTTCACATTACATGGAAGTTTTTGAATATGCATATTATCATTAATTATGTTTTACCTTGTTGAAAATATGGTTAGCGAAATTTCATAGTTAAGCTGAATATCTTTGCAACAAACATAAAGTTTGTGATTTTCTAAGAAAAATAAAGTCTCGTTAATTGCAAAAATATGCTTGAACTTGAAAAGAGGTGTGATCAACTGTATTGGTTATGATCAACTCATGGAAGTGTTTAGAGTGAATATGAAAAAAGTTACAAATTGGAAAATGTTCTAGTATTGAGGCATAACTTTCAATTGTAAACAACTTTTCCCAATAACATTTTGCTGAATTTTCTGAAATAAGAGTACTTTACTCTCGAGCAATTTTTATATTTTTTGACCTACCCTGTATGCTGTTTAGCTTGCAACTATTCTAAGTGCATCTAGAACGATCACCGAACATGCACCAACTTTCGGCACTATCTGTACTTTGGTTGTGTAATTCATCAAAAAGATTCCCATATGTTGCACACTCAAATGACCACACTTTATATAGGGTTTTTCTTACTTACCCTAGCAGCAAAGGAAGTGCCGTCAACAGTATCACCTTGCGTCGACCAAGAACGTCTGTCAGTTTAGCGGCGATGATTGCCCCCAGAACTGTGCCTGCCAGCAGGATCACGGCCAACCAGGAGGCCTCATGGCCAGAGATGCGGAACTTATAGAGGCCTTTGGTGAGGATGGGCAGCGAGGGCGACGTCCAGCCGAAGTGCATCTCGGATGACAGGATCGAGAGGGTGCCTATGGGAAATTCAAGAAAATAAAAATCATGAATTGTGGAACAAAAGATACTTTCACGTGATCCATAAACGATATATTTTATAGGTAAACAACGTAACTAATGTTTTATCGAAGCATTCTTGATTAGAAACATTGAGTTGGTACAACATTATTCTCGATGGCATTATTCATATTACATCTGTCTTCAATTTATTCGCCATTCAATGCATTCCAAAATGACATGATATTCGAGAATGCAGGTCGGATCAACATTTAACCAACATCCATAACTTACTGTGGAGGTTTTATAAATCAGGAGGGGTGGGAGAACTTTCAGTCACAACTCCAGCACATAAAACAATTAGTTCAGAATAAATTGAAAGAAAGCTGCGCATTTATAGAAAGTGAATTCTTGAAAAATACATTTCACATTTCTTTCACGTTTCCAATAGAGATACAGAAGAACCAAAGATCCTTTTCCATCGCACCTTTTGATAAGATTCAACGTGCGATAGAATTGATAATTGAATTAAAAAAAATGTTGATTGGGGACCAAAGCAAGTTAATCACAAATACTCAAAACCTAATGTGATGAAATCGTCTGGGAAAATACTGGGAAATGAATTATTGGTAACATCGAAAGAAACGAAGAAAGAAACTGATGGGATAAAAACATTTCTGATTTTTTTTTTGACTAAAAACTCAGTTGACTTAACCAAAAAAATCAAGAATGTATCTCACCAGTTTCTGTTTTAGTTTCTTCTGATATGATCAATTCGTTTTCCAGTATTCCCTCAGACGATTGAATTTGTCTAGTTATAAATCTCCTTCTCAACAACAATATCACATCAGGTTCTAGATATTCGTGATTTACTCGCTTTGGTCATCAACCAACACTTTCAAATTCAATAATGATTTTTATCGCCAAAATTCAGGACTTGTTATGGGCAGCAGCCTATTCCCCTCATTAGCTGAAATTTTCATGAATGATTTTGAAGAACAATGCATAAATATTTTTTTTCGACAATAAATTAGTGTTCTACCTTAGGTTGATATGTTGATGACTGTTTGTTATTGTTTGATGGTTTCCTTCCTGATGTTTATGATTTTCTTGGATATATCAACTCACTCCCCCCCTCCCCCCCCCCAATATTAATTTTACCATTGAGTTTGAATCTAATCATTTTCTACACTTTCTTGATTTACTGATCACGAAAAATCTTCTTATTTCAAGATTTGAATTTGAGGTTTACAGAAAACCAACTGCAACTGATTGTGTCTTCCCCTCTTTTTCTAATCATCACATCACATAAGTGATCAACATAATAAAGCAAATAGATGTTAAATTTCAATATTCCTTAGAACACATAATGAAAATTAAATTTATTGCCAGTCAACCGTTGGTCCACCATATATACAAATCTCTCAATTACTTCGGACATTATAATTTCAAGATTTCGAAACCATTCAAAGATTTGAACATATCGAAATAACTTCTGATCTCCAACATATTTTGGTTTATTCTAAGGGGGAGTGATGACAAAAGAAACTTCATGTTATGTTGACATTCACTCGAATTGGGTAAAAATTGTTTTTCCTGGCCAGAATTTATATTCACCTCTTCTTAGTATGTGAAGAAGTGGGGAAAGTATGAATTGAGCAATATAATATGGGTTGATCCAGGTTTTGAGGTGAAATGGGTGATTGATCTGATCATTTCAATCAGAAAAGTTCAAATTAACACGAGTCCGATCTCGATCAGTAGCGGATCTACAGGAGGTCATAGTTTAATTATTTTTTTCTATTAATTGGAATATCCCGCTAAATTTTGAAGATATCGACTGAAAATTTTGTGTGGTCAATACCTCATGAGAATTTGTCATTCTGAATATTCTAGAGATCTTCCTAATCTACAGGGGGATTCTTCTCTGGAGGTACAGACTTCTTTATCCCCCCAAACTTTCTTGTAGTACGCCTCTAACATTTTTCAGTTACCCAATAGGGTGGACAGTTTGATAGCGAGGTAATTTTTGCCTTCAATCTTGTTGCGAGGAACGAACCGTTTTGGAGATAAATAGGCATATCCGTTCTGAAACATGTTGATTTCATTTATATTTCAATATTGAGTCTTGTTCTTGGACAACATTTATACAATAATAGGATACGCAAAAGAAATAATCACATTCCGCAAGGAGATTCTTTTCGACAAGTTGAATTCAATTTTATTTTTTTAAATTTCTTCAAATTAAATTGAAAAAGATATTGGATGAGGAATATGGATACAACTGGATGGGGCTTGACAGGAATTTTCCGCGTCGTCGTTGGATTCGTCGGTTGAAATCAACTTGTCCTTCTAATCTTTGTATCTCCGTTGATTTAGATTGGAACCTGGTATATTTTATTGCATTAAGCGAATTATTATAAGCAAAATTGGCATTTTCATTCATCTCGGAAACTGTGAGTTTCTCGAAAAAAATTTAGATGCGGATGAAGTCTTTAAATCAAACTATCCAACCTATTTGGTATCTGGAAGATGTCAGAGGTGTACTACTAGTTTGGGTGGAATGAAGGAGCCCCTACCCACAAAAACGTATCACCCTGTGGATTTCAAAAATCTTTGACGAGCTTCATAAGATGATCTTCTAGAAAGTATAAACCACACCTAATTTTGAATTGATATATTCAGAAGTGAGTGAGATATTTCAATTAATAGACAAAAATATTTGAATTTTGACCCCTTGTATCTCCGCTACTGATCGAGATCGGACACATATTTATACTTTTTTTTATCGTAATAATGAGATCTATCACCTATTTCAGTTTGTACCTTGAAACCTGATTCACCCTGTAGAATTAGTCGACAGTCTCGAGGACAGTCTACATAGTGAATGAGAACGAGCTGACTCGTATTGTATGTTGAACAATATAGAAAACCTACACTAGAAGTTGTTGAAAAATAAGTATATTTTGAATGAGTTTTGTCGGATTTGTGAATATCTAGAACCATGTATTTTCTGTCCTATATATTGATTCTTTATTCATGCTTAGAACCAGGGGCGGACTGGACCTTTGAATCGGCCCGGGCGAATTAAACCTTACCGGCCCACCTCCGGAGAAAATTTCTCGGAAAATTTCAAAGCTACTATAGCTATATTCATATAATTTCATCAAATATTTTGGTAACATATACGAACAAAAGCAAAAAAAAAATTATTAAAAATAGTTTTCATCATGATAAAACTCAAACAAAAAAACTGTCGATGAAACATCATAACATCAATTATACTAAAGAAAAACGAAATAAATAACATTATTGACATTCTATGAATGGAAAATGAAATAAATGATATGAGCGATATTTCTATGGTAGATGAACATAAAGCACCTTGGTGAATAATATTAAAACTACAGAAAGACTAGGAAATTTATTTATCCAAAACAAAAAATGAAACATTTGCCGCATTAGAAATTGAAATAAATAACCGAAAAATTGAATCTGTTACGGATCCATCACATTTTTCAACGAGTTGAAAATGATATTGTCGCTTCCTATTGATATAGAATGTCTTTTCCACACCTTATGATCATGAAAGCCTCTGAATTTTCTTGGCATAGAGAATTCATTATAGCCCATTCAGAATGAATTTTAATTTTGAGAAAGCTATTTCACACGATACCTGCGCCACTGAAGGAGTAAGAATATATTTATGAATTTTCTTTAAATTTGGATAGGCCTCGACGTATGAATTGTATTTGTGCGAAACATGGTAGCAACAAAATGAACATTATTTGTCAAGGCTTATTCCATCAGCAGGATAATAATTTTTGACCTTTTCATAATCCTTCCTGAATGAGTTTTCAGTTAATATTATTTAATCATCAGTAAATCCTGACTGAATCGTGATTTTCTAGTATTTACATTTAGAAATAATGCTTCTCTTTGCTTCATACAGAACGTTTGATGTAGCTTTCTTTGCAGTATCTATGAATATATTTTATATTCTTTGAATATTTCTACCGGCCCCAAAGGGCACCGGCCCATCGGGCGATCACCCGATTGCCCGGCCTCCAGTCCGCCTCTGCTTAGAACAGGTGTTCAAACCTTTGTCTGCATGTTAGTTTTTTTTTAGACAGATAATTGAATCATTTCACAATAGATAAAATATCTCTAAACGGTTTCAGAGACTCCACTGGTCGGTAGGATTGCTGATATTTTTATTTGTTCAGACAACATCGTGAGAATCAAGGCAAATAAGGTAGGAATTGTTGTTCTTCTCAAATTTCTATAGGTTATATGCCTCGGGGAACACCTCCCTTGGCAATGTGTTCCAGAGCCTCGCTGTTCGTTCATACTAATTATTTTATCCACATATAAGTAGTTGCTCCAATTGAATTTCATGACTTTTATTCACCTCTTGCAGCGCACAAGAGAAGAACTCTATTATGTTCGAGAAACATCGTGCGTACTTATATAGGGATAAGTAGGAAAGGTAGGTATTGGACTTTTTCTTCAATTTTTCTGAAGATAATAAATTCTTGATAATATTCTCTTCTGCAAAGAATTCCAAAGCTTTGACGTTTCATAGACAAACGAGTTTTGGTGACGAATTCATATGAAATGTGAAATATAAGCGATTCATTCACACCTGGCTGCACCTATGAAATTTCATGATATGCGATATCAGGAGCTATTCGGAAAAAAAAACATGATATGAGCGGCAATTCTGTTCGACAGCATACGAGTTTTTTTTATCGCTTGGAGCGCACGAAAGGGAATCCCTATAATGTTCAAAGAACATCGTGCGTTCCTAGGGAGGATAGGGACAGGAGGTAGGTATGTTTGTCAAAGTCTGACACTGACCTGACACTAGTAAATTTGATAATCTATGGTAAAAGTCCATGGTATCTCAGAGTGGAGTGAATAGATTCATAAACAAGACACACAAAGTCATCTCCACAAATTTATTGACTGAATAATCAGTATCTGTACATGTTTCGGACTATCAATAGTGCATCATCAGCAGCATATTTTAATTGACGATTTTGTGGAAATGAAAAAAAGGAGAAGTTAATAAAATTATTGCATGATACAATTTAAATTACAATAATGAAGAGCAAATGGACCAAGGCCCAAAGGGGACTTTATGGAGGATCCCAACACTTGTTCATCCAAGTGATCGGAGATAGTAAAGATATTTAATATCAGTCACTTAAAAATTGGAATGTCTCGTTTGGGTCCCCCTTTACTATGGAAATCAGCAGTCATTATGTAAGCGAATCAATATCAGAAAATACCAAGAAGAGTAACAAACTAACCCATCTCTCGTGATCGCCAAAATCCTGGCAGATTGGGTAAAGAGTATGGTGAGATCGTGATGATGAGGAATATGAAGAGTACACAGTTAAATTGATATGGAAATCTATACAGGAAGTATACCTCCCCGAACATGCACGTAAAGTAAATCCATTTGTAGATATCAAATTCAATGGTGCCAGGGATGCGCATAATGCGAAAAAGCAAAGCCTGCAATATTTTCCTCAAACAAGAAAAGAAAGTTCAGAAGCCCTAACTTTAGATGAATTGTATTTTTATACTGTTCATGAAATAATCTTCCTGAATATCACTCGACAATGATAAATAGATACTATAATTTTCCTCCATTCACCTCGAGTATTTTAAGACAATTTTATTCGACCATATGAACATTCATAATCTGAATAACTTTCGAGAGCTTTATCTCCAGGGAGTTATATATTATTATAAAATATACAGGTAGTTTCCTTACTATGGTTCCTAATCGCAGGTGGTGATTCGTTAGGTCATTTTAGGAAAAAAGTTCCTTTACCATACATATGTCTGGAGTTGCTTCGTTTCTGAGATACAGGGCGATAAAATTGAAGAAGAAAATACGATAATTACAAAATATCATGAATATCCTGGAACCGATTTGTTTGAAATTTGGTACCTTCATTTGAACTAATGAGCGCTCATTTAGTCCTAATCAGATTGGAATTATTGGGGCCAGTGGCGTCTCAGTGGGCACCATTGCCAACAATATTGTGAAAAAAGTACGCTACTGACTTTTTGTGGTGAATTCCCATTCCTATTCAGATTGGGCAACTCGGAATACAACTTTTTGGTCTCCTGTATTTTCTTCATATTCAGCTTCGTTTTCGAGAAAAACTATTTAATCCACTGTATTCATCATGATCAGTTTTTCATTATTTCCGCCAAAAATATAATTGATACTTGATATGCGGAAATTTTAGAAAATTTGACAAATACAAGTACCAAATTCAAACTAAATCGGTTCCAGAATATTCGTGATATTTTATATAATTACCGTATCTTTTTGCTATAATTTCAACGCCCTCTATCTCAGAAACGAAGCAACTCCGGACATATGTTTATATAAACGTTTTTCATCAAAATGACCTAACAAACCACCCCCTGCAGTTAGGCATCGTAGTTAGGTAACACCCTGTATAACAGCTTGAAGAAGACATTTTTCAAAGATGAAAATCTCATACAAACATATATGCGTGGGAGCTTCGTTTCCGATTTACAGGGTGTCAAAGTTTTCGTTTTTTTATCATGTTTCGTTTTTTCTTGTTTTAATTATAATGGTGTTCAAAAAATTCAATTCAATTTTGCAACTGAATTTCATTGGTATGGAAGCTTTCGGTCATTCAATTTTCCAATAAGATGTTTGAGAAATGTCAAATAAGTGTGTTTGAGAAATAACGGTTTTATTACAAGTATTTTATTTTTGGCATTTATCTCGAAATCCATACAGTTTTCGAAGAATTTACATGGGAGCAAAAAGTTTCCAAATTGAAAGGACAATCTGAATCTATGTCCCATTGAAAGCAGAGACGGCACGCAAAAAAGTTCTACAGGGGTAAATTGGGTACGACCCCTGAAAGTCTATCACCCTGTAGATATTCAGAAATGTCCAATAGTCTCAAATATTGAATTTTTGAAGTGTATCAGGTGTACAAAATTTCAATCAATTATTCCGAAAATTGTAGGAGAAAATTCAAAAAACATAAAAAAAATCTGAAATTTTGACACCCTGTGAATCGGAAACGAAGCTCCCACGCATATATGTTTGTATGAGCTTTTCGTCTTGAAAAAATTTCTTCTTCAAGCTGTTGTCCTGCCACAAAAAACTGAAACACCCTGTATATTATATTATATAGTCTTTGGTCACATTAAATTATCAAAATAAAAGGCACTCCCGATGGAATTATGTAAAAAATGATTGTAGGGTATTTGTCATGGTGTCGCGATAACAAATACATATGACATGGATCGGTCACTTATAATTGGTAATGTCTTGTTTTTGATGCAATTTCATTACATAAATCAGTGTTAATTCAGGATTATTCGACATTCGATGTGAATATTGAAAAAACCTAATATTGTTGGCATCAAAATAAAACGTTTTCCTCATATAAACATATGTATCCTAAAATGCACCCCCTCCGAACTACACAAGAGTGTGGACCCCTACAACTTTTTCAACATCGGGTTGATATAATTCATTAGGCAAAAAAAAAGAGTTCCTAGAATAACAGGAGCATGCCTGTTGTCGGACGATTTGATCCCTAATTCTGATCACAATTCCAGGTAACCTTTTTTTACCCGAATTACAGTCGCATTACCTTTTGGGAAACAGGTTTGTATGAAAAAAATGTCTTGTTTTGAGCCCAACAATACGTCCTCGAGATATTCACATCGACTTTCGAATCACTCGTTATAGACAAACTATCACCAGATAATACCAAGAAGAATAAAAAAAGTCCATATCTGGCAACAATTTATATTTCCACCTGTAGAGAAAATTAGATTTTTAGGCACAATTCAACGTGAATGAAATCCCATAAGTATAAGTATATTATTTCATGCTGTTCATGAAATCATTTCTCTGAATCTCCTGTGATTTACTCCTGGGAACTTTAACTCAAGGTACTTTTCATTGAATTATGAAGAGAATAATAGTCGATTATTTTATACCTATACTTCAAAATTTGCCATTTCAGTAATTATACGATTATGATGCAAAAGTATGGAATGAATTCGATATTTCTGTTATATTGATAGTTCTCAAAATTCCTCGGATAGGTGAAAGTGGATTTCGAAACCCATTTTCTGGATATCAGGTGTAGCGAAATAGGTTTTGAAAATTTTCTATTTCAGGTTTTAGCAAAAAAAATGATACATTCGAATCAAGACTACGTTTCATAAGACGTCAGTTAAATTTCTATAAAATCATTTTTTTGACGTCACTTATTCCACTTCGAATAAATACGTTATTTGTTATTCAAAATTTTTTGGGATTTTCTCTCCTCGTTTCTGTAAAATGAAAATATGAATATTATTTCAATATACGTGTAGAAAGGGCAAATCAGATGATTTGCTCCAAAATGTCACTGCGTTTAAAGAATTTTCCTATCAGAGAGCCTGAAAGAAAAATTCACTAGCTTGTCAGTGACAATTTGTATTGAAAAAATTTTGGAGAAGAGAAATAAAGGTATATAGAAAAAATATCAAATTTTCACTTATCTTTGGACGTTTCGGAACCGATTCTGCTCCCGTTTTCAACATGAAAAGAGATTATTTCAATAGCGAAGTCGTATAATATGTCTTGAAGATTTTCAGTTTTCAATGACAATTGGTGACGTTGGCAATCAAATGAGTCACAGGATGTTTTCATTAATTAATCAGAATTGGTCCCGAAACGTCCAAAGATAAGTGAAAATTCGATATTTTTTCTATATACCTTTATTTCTCTTCTCCAAAATTTTTTCAATACAAATTGTCACTGACAAGCTAGTGAATTTTTCTTTCAGGCTCTCTGATAGGAAAATTCTTTAAACGCAGTGACATTTTGGGGCAAATCATCTGATCCATCTACTCGATTAACCTACAGACAGTATTTAACGTCATTTGTCTTCGACTCAAAGTCACATGAAACTCTTTCTGGCGTCATTTTGGGAGTTAAAACTACCCCATTCATGTTATGCTGTTGTTTGATGAATTGTGAAATTTTGGGCTCTTTTTCTGAAAGATCAATTTGCTCAGGTGATAGATTGAGAATCATTTCGTAATGAATCACACCTGACCTAACCGAGAATGAGATCAGTGAGAGATTATTATATAGGTTTTTGGTGAGGGGGTACATATACCTATGCTGCTTTAGATGAAAGCATCAATCAAATATCCTAGATACAATGAAATTGAATGAATTGACAAGTCACAAGTTCGTTAGTCAACAGTTAAAGAAGTAGAAGAAAATTACTCAACTTCAGAAAAAGTATCACTAGAAAAAGATGACTTTTCCAGCAATCTATTCGTGTCAAACGCCCTGAAATACATGAGTAACTACCAAGAAAATATGTTGAAAAGTTTGATATCATCATCTGAATGTTACATATCCAATCAAATAGGTAAACAAGATGATAAGAATCATTAGTTATTTACCTGTGACAGCTGCCAAATATTGATAAATCCTCGGGCCGAAGAAACTACATAAATTCACTCTCGTAATCATTATGCACTGATTCAAGTCGATAATCACGATGTTATGCTCCCATTATTAGTGCACTAAAATTTTCATGTGATTCATGTATCACTCCGATATCGGACAATTACGGATTCAGATAAAATGCCAATTGAGTTTGAGAATTTGTGAATGAATGAGCTATTGGTTAAAAACATTGCATGTAGGTACGATTGATTCTAAAAACTTATCGGAGCTATAGCTACACCAACAAAAAAGACGTGAATACAGGATGACACAAATCGAATCGGATACCCTCAATGAACCTGAAGACAGTTATTTTAAAAAAAAATGGTGAAGCTCCTTCAGTTCCATCATATTGTCTCCAAAATATCTCCTTTACTGAAAAAAATTCTCCTGAAGGGGATATTTGACAATGTTCTGATACTCAATCAACAGCAAACAACAATAAAAAAGTATTGATATTCTGTTTTCGAACGAGGGGAAACTTCTCGCCAAAAATCTTTCTCACTCACCAAGGCTGGGTCACATGCTTCAATGATTTATTTTTAATAATGAGCTAAGCAAGAGAATTTCGACAAGATTCAGTAACCATAGACATGGGATTTGTATATACCATGAGACCCAATTTTGTTTGGTCAGGCAATGGAGTAACGGTAGGATTTGTTTCAACTGAATCGAGAACGGGAACAGCACTATATATAAGGTTTCTGATACGATATTTCCTTTTCCTTTTATATGAGGAATGTCATAACCATACTGTTGGATTTTATTTACCCACCGAGCAAGTCTATCAGAAAGTGTCAGAAGTCGGTTAAGCCAAACCAGACTGGCCTGATCTGTTAAAATAGTAAATTTTGTACACTATACTGTCTAACCACTAATTTATTATCCATGCTCAGGAGTAAATGGAAAAAAGCTACACTGGGAAGCAGCTCGGTAACTGCACAGGCCACTAGAGGTTGCCTCCAAGCAGGGGTACTGCCTCCTCTTTTATGGTTCATAGTTGTCGATAACCTAGTAAACAAACTAAGCACCGCTGGCTTCGATATTCAAGGCTATGCGGGTGACATCGTCATAATGTTATGTATGGGTCTGAAGGGTCACCCTGCATTCATGTCGAGTAGTCTGTGACTTGATATAAAACAATTTCGGTTGTAATTTGAGTGTTGTGTCACCTTGAGATATACATAAAAGGAGTAAGAAATACTAATATAATATTTGTTTCTTTTCTGGAAGAACCTACAAATTCATATCTGATACATGATAATGAGAAGTAGGCATAATAGGATTTTATCGGGCCTTATGCAGACTGCACTCAGAATGCTGAGAGACTTATGCTTTCAGGAGGACTTGAATCCCAACCCCAAGCAGAACAGTCATCGTTCCATTCTCCAAAAAAAATGTAAGATCTATTCAAAGGAACTTATTATGGATGGGACGCCTATCAACTCATTCAAAAAGGTGAAAGATCGAGGAGATATTCTAGACAAGAAACTCACGTGGAACCAACACTTGACCAAATTCGTTAATAGGGCAGTTTCAGCTCTCTGGATATGCCGAAAGATGTTTGGTCAAACGTGGGGTCTTGAACCAAATATGATCTACTGGTCTAACCTCACGGTGGTAAGACTCATGGTCACATAGGTTTCCTAGTGTGGTTGGCCAGAAGTAAGGAAAAAACAGCACAACTTGAGCTAAAATGATCCAGAGACTCGCCTGTCTTGGGATCATCAAGGCTATGCGTACGTGCCCTACCGCAGCAATGAAAGCAATGCTTAATCTACTACCCTTGCATATTCTCATCAAGAGGACTTTAGCTCTAAGTACATACAGTCTGAATTCAACTAGATTGACAAGACCAGGTGATGTCACTGGCCACATGGCTATTCTACAAGAAGTACAAATGGGATATGCAACCAAACCATCGGGCTTAATGCCAGCCAGGCCCAGTTTCGATCCTGCCTTTGAAATGACCATGAAAAGTCACCCTAGCTACGGTTCCGTTGAGCCTCAGCTGGACAAAGGGTCTCTTGTTTGGTACACCGATGGTCTAAAATGCTGAAAAGTATAGGCGCGGGTGTATATGGACCTGAATGTAGGCTACTTGAAGCCATAGATCACTCCCCCACTATCCCCCAAGTTGAAATACATGCCATCAACCTATGCGTTCAAAGGTGCCTAAGCGAAGGCCTGAAGGGTGCCAACATATATATCTGCTCAGACAGCCAAGCCGCACAAAAAATCAAAATCATTTGTTTTCAAATCAAAGATACATGGGACTGCTTTGGAACACTCATGCAACTGGAAAAGGACAATGAAGTCACACTCATGTCGGTTCCAGGGCATGAAGGGATGAACGGAAATGAGGCAGCTGATTGACTTGCTAAGTGAGGTGCAGCATCTGCTCTCTTCGGTCCTGAGCCTTTCTGTGGGCGAAGCAAATGTCACTTAAAGGGAGAACTCAGGAAATGGGAAGAAATTGAAAAGTCCTTCTACTAGAGAGCAACTCCAAGTCAACGACAAGAGGAAAGGTTCAGCAACTATTCGCCGAAGTGATCCAAAGAGCTACTCACCCAGCAAACCAGAGCTGAAGCTTATCACAGGCTTTCTCACAGGACATTGCCCTCTGAGGTACCACCTCAAAAAGATGGGCCTGGCGGAGACTGATACTTGCCGCTTTTGCAATGATGCAACCGAAACCACGAATACATACTTTGGTCATGTGAAGTATTAGTTCGTCAAAGACTGAATCACCTAGAACAGGTCCATCTCACACCTGCGGAGGTGGAAAATTCAGCCGTCAGGAAAATTGTAGGCTTCATCAAAAGTCTAGGGTAAGAGGACCAAAACGGGTTCATAAACGTCTTCAGAACACATCGACACAGACAGCCAATTAATAGGAATTTATCCGACTAGAATAGTGAAAAATCAGAATAGCAAATCACCAGAATCATATTATAGCGACTGCAATATGTACAACCCGTAATTCGTCGATCCGTACTTATATATTATGCCAGAATACATAAATCACAATAGGGATATCCCAATAATATACCGGAAGACTGCCTTATATTCAGAAGTGTACCTTGCCAAACCAGTGAATACAGTACTCTTCATGTTCTCAGAATCATAATTATATATAATCGTAATGTCATAGAACCGTGAAAGCAAGACTGTAAATTCAGCGACCCGTACTCTATGGACCACCATTTCATTAGGATGGACATTCTCGATCATCAAACTGGCAGAATTGTGATATGTACAGAATCTAATAATGGCAGAATGCGAAAAGTTCATAGCCGTTGAACGACAGACTGTCGACTTTTGGGACCCGTAAAATAAAGGATCCGTACAATGACAGATTTGTAAAAGCAAAGACTATCAAAACTACAGACCCGTTGAATTCCAGAATTGTACGGACGAAGACCGCGTAATGAAAGAATCGTAAAATATCAAACCCGTAAAATAGCAGAATCGTAAAATGACAGAACCGTTCATCGACAGACCAGCGAACGTTCAGAACCGTACATCGACATGAATTTTCGGAAGATTCTGATAATGTGGCCAAAATGAAATCACGCAGGATTTCATTAGCTAAATGCACAGTTGCATATTATGAATGTTGGATATGTACATTGAACCAAATTTCACCAGCGGCTTTTGGGACCGAAAATTGAAAGAAAATTCTCAATGAACATGATTCTAAAAATGTTGCCTATGGGAGCTATGGCCCCCTGAAATGGTTCTCCGAAAGTTGATTTTTCTTGAATATTTCGGAAACGCCATGTGATAAGATGATGCGATTTGGTTAAATAACTAAACTTGTGAATTGTGAGAATACAATCAAGCCAAAATTTCATTCAGAAGTGTATAATACAGAGAGAGACTTGAAGCTCTGCGATAAATAATTTGGTGAAATATTTTTTTTACTCTTCAGTATTGAATGACTACATCATCGAATGATCAGAAATAAGTGGAACCGATGTTATTTTCTCTCTGATATTTCGAAAAAACATTGATGATGGTTAAATCTATATTGAAACACATTCTAACCACATTGTATAATACATTGTTGAGTTCAGAGTAGAAAAAGCTTTCAGAATCTGTGAACACATGATCGAAACCGTCTTTGAAGAAACGAAATTGATGGTGGTTTTACGGATGCGAAATATTGTCGCGAAAAAAAAATCAATATCACCTCGTTGAATCTCATTAAGAGTTGTTATGAAAAAGTGTTTCCAGTTTTTCTGTATCTCAAATGATAACGTAGAAGAAAACGAAATGATTTTCTGAAAATTCACTTTATTCAATATACCTTTTTTATATGTTCTGGCTCCAACGAAAAGGGATATCCTGTGATGTTGATAGAACATCGTGAGAACCAAAGGAAATAAGGTAGTAATTGGTGTTCTTCTTGAATTCCTGGAAGTTATATGCCTCGGAGAATACCTCCCTTGGCGAAGTGTTCCAGAGCCTCGCTGTTCGTTGGATGCTCGAGTCATTGAAAAGAGATGTTCTGCAGGTCTCCAAAGTGACCACGAAGCGGTGCGAAGCCTCGACTCGACGGGTTAATCTCGCGGAAACTGCCAATGGAGGAACAATTGTTGATATTCAATCGTCCATGGAAGTATCTATAGTAAAGAGCCAGATCGCCAACTTTTCTGCGGTGTTCCAGAGTGAGTTTGTGAGCGAGGCATCACCCACGAGACGAATTGCCCTTTTTTGGACAGAATCCGACAGTTTCAGGGTATGTTTGGGTACTGCACTCCAAATATAAGATCAGTATTCTGGGACAGGTCGAATCTGTGCCCTATAGATCATAAGCAGCTGACTGGAAGTGAAATAGCTCCTGGCCCGAAACAGCTCCTGGCCCGAAACAGACAGCTAAGTTTTTGGGATGCACTTTTAACAATTGATCTCACGTGATTTTCCTAAGAAAGGTTATTGCTGATAGTAATACCAAGCATCGAAATGGATGTCTTTCGAAGGTATGGTTACTCCTGACAAGCTTATATGTTGGGCACAGTGAGATCGGCTCTTCCAGAGAAGAGACATGCTTGTGTTTTGTTTGCATTGAAATCTAGCAAGTTATTGGTTCCTAATTCGAAAATTTTTGCCAAGTCTATATTTATGTTGTCAACATTTCTTTCTCGTTCGTTTCTGATTTGCCTGGCTGGTATTGGAGCCCTGGGA